TACTTAAATCAAACCTAGAACTGAGCTAGGGTTAATCGAAAAATTCACACTACCTCCCAAAGACAGATATAAGTGCACTTAGCTCCTTGGGAGCTAAGTGCAAGTACTTCTGCTAGTGCTTCTAAATCCTCTATCCTTCCAACCAGAATTACTCTGCTCTTTGTCCAATTTACTCTCAAACCCGACACAACTTCAAACCAACTCAGTACCACTAAAACAGCTTCATGCTCTTTGCCCAATGTGCCACTCTCAAAGTTATCATTTCTACCAAGGCTTCCATGCTTCTTTCCTTTTCTTCAAATATTCTTGCATTTCTTTCCTCCCAAACAGTCCAAAGTAGTGCTTTGCCTCTTCTCTTTTGAACTGGTAGAATAACATGGTATCAAAGCAGGTTGATTCTACCAGCTATTGATTCAGTTTGATTTTTTGGATGTTAAACAACTGTTTGGGAAGTTTTTTGACAATCATCAAGCCATGTTTAAAGTCTGTTTGAAGGTTACTTTGATCAACCGAAAATGTTAAGAGTTTTCCTGGAAAATACACCCAGCATGTTAGTGTTTTCTTTTTATTTATTCAAATCAGCTGATCTGATCAGCCTAAGATTCTGGAATTAGTGCGCCATGGCCACCTTTCATTGTTCATTTGATCTGATCTGAAGTTTGGTTCGTTTTTAGAGGGGTTCTGATCCTAACTTGTGAACAACAGTCCTGGAACATTTCTCTTATGGACTGTCATCAATCTAAACCTGCCATTGTTAGATTCTGCTGAGTAATTCCATTATGTTTAGTGGAGTGTTACTGCGGTATTGTGTTTGGACTGTTTATGATCAAGGTTGGCTGGTTAATCACTGGTTCCTCTTATTTTTAGCATCAATTCCAGCAGCACTATTCCTTTTTTGGACTATGGTTATTATCTAGAATGGCTGATAAGGTTGATATCATTCCCGTGAAGTTTGATAGAACTAACTACAGCATGTGGAAGCCCCATTTGATTTCGTTGTTGAAGGAAAAGTTTTGGAAGGATTTTTTTAATCGAAAAGATACTAAACCGGATAAAACCGATACCAAGGCCTATTCACAATGGATGTTGGATAATGGGAAAATAGTTTCTTAAATACTTAGTTCAATAGTATCTCATATTGCAACACTCATGAGAAAGAATGCGAACTACCTATGATATGTATGCATACTTGAAGAAAGTTACCATCAATCCAATATGTCAAGACAATATCAGATTGAATCTAAGATTTTTGCTTATTGCTAGGGAGTTAGGGGAAGGTTCAAGAATACTATGTCGGTTTTCTTAAATTGTGGGCAGAATATGAACTTGTTCATATAGATCCTTCAGACTCTACAGAATGTGTAAAGTATCTTCAGCAACACTTTCAGAAGAGAAATGTGAACCAGTTTCTTATGAGACTTAGACCAAAATATGAGATAATCAGGTCTAATATTTTGAGTAGATAAACTCTTCCATATTAGGATTAAGTGATGGGTGAACTATTGAGGGAGGATACTAGACTCCTAACTGCTGCACATATTGATGGAAAATTAATTGATTCTAGGGCTAACACTGCTTTTATTGTTCAAGGAAGTAAGAAGTCGAGTGCTAAGGACTTCTCTAAAACATAGTATTATGAGTGCAAGGGGCTTGGTCACATCATTCTAGATTGTCCAGTTAGACCATCTAAGGGTTCTCAAAAGAAGAACCAACCACGTGCATATTAGGTGACTGAGGGACAAACCATTGGCATTTCCTCTACCAAGGGTGATTCCTCTGTTAAGGGACTTTCTACATCTATAAATGAAGAAAAAATTCGACAACCAGTATCCTTTGTTATTTCCTTTGCCTTTTCTGGTATCGGCTTATCTAGTGAGCTTTTTGGTTATTATTCCTCTCAGTCCCATGTTTGAATCATTGATTCCAGGGCAACTAATCATATGGCAGGAGCTTACCCTGAACCCCCAAATAATTTTTTTTGAAACCCACCATAGACATAATATTACTGCCAATGGTGAAAAATTAGATATCATTGGTAGTAATGATTTGTCACTTAAGCTTTCATCCACTGCCTCCTTTCTCCATTTCTCTTTTCTTTAATACAAATAAAATTTCCTTCTCACTCCTTTCTTCATAATAAGTTGTAGTCAATCAGATGAAATTCTGATTGTAGACAGCCTTACTCCTTGGAATTTTGCATACAAAAAGGGAACCGTAGTCAATCAAATTGAACATTTGATTGTAGATGATTTTCATCCCTCCGCTCTTCATTTTCATTTGAAGGGAACCATAATCAGCCTTTGAGATTTAGACTGTAGATGGTTTAMTCCCTAACTTTGTCTTGAAAGAGGGACCATAATCAACCAAGTARAGGCACCTGGTTGTARATGGTTCATTCCCCCTTACTCTTCATTTTCATTTGAAGGGAACCATAATCAGTCTTCGAGAATTAGACTGTAGATGGTTTAATCCCTAACTTTGTCTTGAAAGAGGGACCATAATCAACCAAGTAAAGGCACCTTGTTGTAGATGGTTTATTTCCTTCTTTTTCCTTTCTCAAAAGCAATAACAAAAGGGAGAGAAAGAAGGATACATAGCAGAAGACATAAATAGGAAGTATTCACAGAGAGGGCTTTCCTTTTCTCTACCTGTATTAGTGAGATTTTTCCTTCCCTGCCTTCCCTTGAGCACTTCTCTTTTCTTTTCTCCTTATCTTTGCTTTTCTTAAGAATCTCTTGTGAAATTTTTCTCCGAAGAGTCTCTCTGTCTTTTTTTCTAGCTTCTCCCTAAGGAGCTTAAATAGGGAGTGGGGTGGTTATGTAACTACCCCCTCCTCCTAGGTGAAGGACTCCTGTCCCTCCCACTTAAAGAGAGGAAACTCCCCACTTAAAGAGAGAGGACTCCCCACTTAAGAGGGGGAACTCCCATACGGGATACTTTTTTATAATTTTAATGATTTGGCTAGTAGACTAGCTAGCCCACTTATTACAAATTATGTGAATAAAAAAAAAAAATGACTTCAACAATGGGGGATAGTTTCAGTACTTGCTTTCCAAAGAAAACATATACAAGGAGAAAGGCACCTAAAAGGCCTTCTTTTATGCAACATACCACAGGTATTGATCTTGCCCAGAACCACTTCCCAACAGAAAGCTTGAATCCTAGGAGGACAGGTATACTCCAAATTTCTTTCACAAGGAAGTTCATCATCAAGTTATTTGATTGGACTAGAGAGTTGAAGAAAGATGCACAAGAAAACTGATCTGTGGAGAGGCAGGCCAAATTCTATTATCAACAACTTGGCTGTCAAAAAAAAAAAGTCAAGTTTGGCCAAAAGGATAATTAGGGAGTTGCATTCAATATACCTAAGACCTCTTCTAAACCCAAAATGCCAATTCAAATCAAACATGGAAATAGACCAGAATTTAGATACAGGTTCCTTTTTTGTAGGTTGACAGAGAATACAATTCAGTAAATTGTTCTTTTGAGAGTGGAATTACTAATTTTCATACAGTTATATTGCTATGCCCTATCATGCCCATAATTCCTATCAACCCTTTGTTTTTCCAACATATCAGCAAGTTCATTTGCTGATTTATAAACCCATCATGCATCTACTAATCTGTCTCTCATCAACATTCTGATCTCTTTAGTTGTATTCATGTGCATCTAGGGTACCAACTTGTGATTTGTCAACCACTGTACCACCCACCCTTGGAGTCTCCTATGATGAAGTTTTGGAAATTACAGCTTCTACCCACCCTAAGGCCTTAACACAAACATATTTATCTCTGACTCTATGGAACTTCCTCTACCAATGGGACCTAAATATGATGTCACAATGTTGCCCCGTGAATCTCTGAAAGCTCCCCCAACCCCCACAGGTCCTGTGGGTTACCTCTGCTGCAGCCAAAGCTGTCTTGGGGTGACCAAGGTACAGAGAGCTGAGACTGAAAGTTTGGGTGAATAGATGCTGCTACTATTCTCCAATTCGAACAATGTCAAATTCTTTACCCAATGAGCTACCCTTACTATAATCAGTTCAATAATGAATTCAAAAGATCTTGCTTCATTGTCAAAATTCCTTGCATGTCTTTCCTCCCAAATTGTCAAAAGAATGGCTGCTCTCATGCACCTCCACATAATTCTTGCTCTTCTTGTGTGAAGACTGACAAAGATGGGTTGGAAAAGACCACTCATGATAGGAGGTATCCACCTAATACCAAATACCTCAAGGAACCACTCCCAAATTCTCACTACAGAAGTACAGGAGATTAGCAAATGTATACACCATTCCCATGAGCCAAACAAAGGAAGCAAGCATGAGGAGATAAACACCAACATGGTCTCTTCTTCTGAACATTCTGTTACCTCTATGAAACATTTGTAACATGTCAGTATGGGTATGAACACAAAAAAAATATATGGATACCCTCACTCACCCCCTTTCTCCTGGAAAGTTTCAACAAACCATCTCACAGCAATCTTAAATTTATAAGATCAGGGTAGCTGCAAGCACAGGGGTAAGGTATAAAGTGAAACTAACTTCCAACAAATCAACCAACTGTTGAGATCAATCTAGACTATAAAAACTAATGAACACATCAACAAGAATTTCTTTATCCCCAACTGAAAATGTTATTTTCAACAACTTCTGTCCCTCTCAAGTTTATTAGGTACAGAAAAGAAAGAGATGAAAATGCTCTCTGCACCATTTTCAGTACCTTCAGTAATATCTAAATAACAATGGAGACAAAAATAACGAGTTCTATAAAGTAACAGATAATTTAAAATATAATATTTGGTTTAACAAGAAAAAACTTTGGTGATTTAACTTTTAAGTACATGATAGCAATCGTAGAATGGTTCTCCTGAAAATATATAAAAATAAATAAATTCAAGTTTTAGCTAACCTTAATAATTCTATCCAGAACTTCCCAACCATGAACACCATAAAATATACACTTATAAGAAAAGAAAAAAAAAATTATAAACCATACCTGAAAACTGAATCAGAAGAAAGAACTCCCAAATGGGTATCACTATATGGATGCCATGAAACTTGTGATGCACGTATGAAGTTGTTGTTATCAAAATAGATCTTGGAACCAATTGAAATAGTCCTGTAAATAGGTCAACATGACAAAGAACAATACAAAATCATGAATTTGATCAGTCAACTACTGCTTTTACTTATCAGAAAAATGTATCAGAACTAAAAGCTGTATATGTAAACAATAAATTTGGCATCAATATAATCTAAGTAACAGAAAAGAATCCACTGTCATATTACCAATCAAAGAAACTGTACATATACGTAGAATAAGAAAATTGTTAATAAAAGCATAACTTTATACTCTCCCAACAGTGAAAACAATGAACAAAATCTCCCAAACCCTAAACTCCATCAATCATTCAAAAATACATCTCCTGATATTCTTGTACTCCAAAACATACTCCCTCCCACTGATAAAGTATCAAATTTTCAATGTAGTTGTACATCTCTGTACAGGCCTTCAAGTGACCTAACTAAAAAAAGGTAATAATACTTTCATTTGGATTGCTTTTGTTTTTCTTTTTCCTATATTTGTGATGCAAAAAGGTTATTTTCTTTAAGTTTTTCTTTTCTTTTTTTTTGGCTCAGAAAAGCATTGCAATTCTCCCTATTGTTCAATACAAGATTTAGGCAATGAACCTGCATTTCAAGGCTTACTTTTAGGGCCTGATAAGTTGCTAATTCTTCTTATTTATTGGTAAATAGATTTAGGCAATAAAACCTGAAGGCTTGAGTTTAAGGCTTGACAAGTTAAAACCTGCCATAGATATTTTTCTTTTATTTGTTGTTTTCTCTTGTCAGATGATAAAGTGGCTATATGAATCAAACATTAGTGTTTTCTTATTATCGAGACAAAAAAATAAAACTAATTAGTGACAAACAAATTTTTTTTCATAACAAATTCAACTAACAGAAACTTCTAAGTAGATTTCTTCTTCATATACCTTTGCTTTAAAAGAAAATAAGCATACATTCTAAGGTCTGAAGACAGCTAATGGCAATTTTTTTTTATCAGCAAAAATTTTGTTTTTTAATTAATAACAGAGAAAAAGTTACAATCACTTACAATAGTTATAGGTTGCAGAAATGCATTAACCCAATCTGCAACCACATACAATCAGCTACAGTTATGTCTGGTACAAGGTAGATCTATTTGCCCCCTGTTTTGCGAGGGTATCCGCCATCCCATTTGCTAATTGCAAATGTTTCTAAGAAAATTTATTGATAGAAAAAGAGAGTACATCTGATGGTGTTGAGATATCACCAGAAATACGAAGAAAAACCAAAGTAGACACTCAAAAGAGAAAGACAAAATACAAAAGCTAAGAACATAAAAGCTTTAAAGCCAGCTCAAGATTGTTCCAAAATCCAGCACCAAGATCTTCTTTTGTGACCCCTTCAAACTCTAGGAGAATAAGAACCCAGTCCATTATACTTTTATTGCAAAGTAGAGTGGCATGGTCCCTTGATTGAGCACTCTCTTCAAAGATTCTCCTATTTCTTTCTTTCCAAACTTCACAACAAACAGCAAAAGGAATGCGGCTCCAAGCAATCCTTGCCTTGGCATTTCCCCTCACACTTGGCCACCTAGAAAAGATCTCCTCTGCCAAACAAGGATCTATGCAACTAGCCTTGAAGAGACCAAAGAAGAATGTTGTCAAAATCTTATGATTTACAATACAATTCATGATTTGAGTCATGAATCCCAAGGGTTTCAAATCAAATCTTATGTCTGAATCCTTTTCTGCAAAAATCATGTGATTTTTGTTTGAATCCTATGATTTGATTCATAAATCTTACGATTTATACGATTTCTACGATTCACTACAATTCAAATAAACTCAATTAAGAATTAGTTATCTACTTTTTTTTGTTTATATTTAGTTTTCCCAGAGGGAGACTTTTTTAAAATCCTTACTAGAAAACTATTTATTTGCGTTATTTAAGAAAAGAAATTGAGTTTATTTTCCATCATATGTAGGTTAAAAGCCATTGTATGTAGATTTGTTTGATTTTCAAGTCCAACTTGATTATATCATCTTAGGCTTCTATTGTATAAGTGTTGAATTGTATTGTTTTAAGTACATATATGGTAGATATGGATTAAAAATAGAGTAAAGTCACTCTCCTATATATATTTAGCCTTTTAATATATCTATATTTAATTTTTTGACAAGTTTGTAAAAAATAGAAATAATCTTACAATTTATGATACAATTCACAATTCAATTTGATTCAACTTTCTCTACGATTTACAATACGATTCACAATTCGATTTGATTCAACTTTCTCTATGATTGACAATATGATTACGTTTTCAAAACACTGGGCTCATTTGTAATTTTTGCCTTTGGTTTGGGTCAGCTTTCTAAAGGGAGGACTTGTAATTTCTAAAGCTGAGTTTCTTTCCTACAAGTCCTACATTTGGGGAAACCCTGTTCCGCCTAGAGTGGAAGCTTTTGCTTGGTTGGTGGCCTTGGATAGTTTTCTAACAGTTGACTACCTAAAATGTAGGGGTTTCTCCTTAGCAAGTGTTTGCGTTTTGTGCTACTCGGATGAAGAGACTGTCTTCCATTTATTCTTCTCTTGTAAGACTGCACAAACCATTTGGAAGTTCTACTCCTCTCTTTTCAGGCAAAGAGTGTTTCAGCCAAGGTCTACAGCAGAAATATTTTCTTCCTGCCCAAGTTTTGAAGGAAGCAGGAAAGCAAGGATAGTTTGGAACTGCATCCCCTTTGGTGTATGTTGCCTCTTGTGGAATGAAAGAAATAGAAGGCTCTTTGAAGAAAAAGCTAAAAGTTCTGATACTCTGGTGGATATGGTGGGAAAGCTAGTAGTGGATTGGCTTTGGGTGCTCCCAGATTTTGATCAAGTGAGTAGACCAGATCTGGGGGAGAATTTTTGGAGTGTATTGAGAATTCGACATGCGTAATCAGTTGTCAGTTTCTGGTTCAGTTAATGTATTCTAGACCGGAGTTTATTTTTTGCTTTGTATTGTTAGGTGCCATTTTGGCACCTATTGGATCTGGATTGTATTTGTTTTTTGTTTAATGAATTTTCTTAGTCAAAAAAAAGATCAACTTGAATAAATGTGTGATAATTGGGGTTGGAAATATTACTGAGTATCTTTTGGAAGAATGTGCAGCTACCTTGGGTTATTTGGTGGGGAAGTTCCCCACTTATTTGGGTCTCGATATTGGGGCAAAATCTTCCATATCTTTTTTTTTGGATAGGCAAAGAGATTTTTATTAAGAAATAAATTAAACAGAAAGTGTACAGACAGGCATCCCAAAAGAAAGCGCGAGATGCAGCCTCAGGTACAATCAGCTTGCAATTGAGCCCAAAACATAGAATCCCTAAAAACCCCTCCCCCTTGCTTATCTAAAGAGACTGCTAAGCCATTAGCCAACTGCCTTTGCCACTGAGTTCCTACAATCACATTAGTAGTCACCATTTTGAATTTCTTCACAGCTTCCATATAGTTCCAAATAATAGAGGCTGGATCTGTTAGCCACCCAACTAGTAGCTTGTAGGGGTGCACAATCGGTCAGTTCAGTTCGTTCAAACCAAGGACTTAACCAACTATTCGGTTTTACCATTTCCTCTAACAAAACTGAACCGAATTATATTTTAGAACCAAACTGACCCTAACCAAATTTGGTTCGGTTTTCGGTTTGGTTAGACCCTAGTTCCACATAAATGACAAGCATTTAATAAGTATTATCAATGAAAAGTTAAAATGGCCCCAAAACCCAATGGTTTCAATTAATTAACTATTAACTATTATTAATTAAAAGTTAAAATGACCCCAAAGCCCAATGGTTTTAATTAATTAGCTATTATTAATTAAAATCTAAAATAGGCCCAAAGCCCTATGCCAATGAGGAATTGGCGATTTTTTTATAGATATGAGGAATTGGCAAATTGGCCATTTTCAAAAATAATTAATGATTAATGAGCAATTAATGACTAACAAACAATTAGGTTTTCAGTTCGGTTTGGTTGAAAATTTCAGTCAAACCAAACCAAAACTGAAAACCAATTTTTTTAGAAAATAAAACCAAACCAAACCAATAGTCGAGTTAACCGAACCGAATTAGCTTATTCAGTTTGGTTTGGTTTGGTTTGGGTTGGGTTGGGTTGGTTCGGTTCGGTTCGGTTCGGTTCGGTTCGGTTCGGTTCGGTTCGGTTCGGTTCGGTTCGGTTCAGTTCAATTCGGTTCGGTTCGGTTTTCGGTTTTCGGTTTTCGGTTTATCAACCAAATTTGAACACCCCTAGTAGCTTGGAATCCCCTCAATTATCAATCTGTCCACGTTTAGCTCTTTTACCTCTTCTCATGTGCCACCCAAAAGTAGATGGATTAAACAGCATACTTGCATAAAATGACGGGTTCCACCTACATCCAAATAAACTAAAGCTCTAACTCCATAAGGCTGCAGCAAAGGAGCAAGAAATCAATAGATGGTAACAGTTCTCATTTTGGGCCTTACACTAGAAGCACTAGGTAAGGGAAAGGCAAAGACAAGGTCTCTTCTTATGCAGGTTTCCAAAGTGTTTATTTTCCCACAAAAAACTTCCCAGCAAAAGACAACAATTTTGGGGGGAACAGATCTTATCCAAACTTCTTTAACAGGGAACACCTGGGGGTTAGGGTTGGCAATGAGGGATTTTAGAAGAGAAGCACAAGTATATGTCCCTTTTGGAAGAGGTGTCCAAACTCTTTGATCAGATTTAGTAGGGATCAATTCATGATCCCTTAATCCCCTACAAAAGCTAAAGTCCCAATTTATTTCCTATCCCCAAGCCCCCTTCTTCCCTACTTTAACTCCTATTTTTATAATATATATAAGCATATGCTTTATGGAAATAATGCAATCAGTGGTGAAAAGGGAACAAATTAGCCATATAAGTACAAATCCATGAACACAACATTAAACAATTAAAACAATACATAGTTGACAATGGAAAGTTTAATCAAATATTGCAAATTTACATTCTGTTCTCAAATTTAAGCCTAATAGTCAAAGACCTTATGATAGCATTCATGAACTCAGCCAAGAGGAGTCCCCTCAAGTGTTAAGTCTGGAACCTTGTCCACATGCATGGACGTGATATTCATTTTGGAGGTCAAAGTTATAGCTATCACACTTGGTTCCACCTCAATGTATGTGTGCATGGATGCCTCATTCACACTCTCCCTTACTAACTTGGCTAGAGTGTATATATAATTTTATTTAAGGCCTGTACCTGCAAATAATGGTATTATCTTTTGTAGAAGTTCTTCCATAAAGATGCATTATGAATAGGCCATCTGAACCTGCAAGAAGCAATGCTGATCCATTTCCGTTTATGGAGATCTTGTTGACCACAAAGTGTAATTGAATATCAGGTTGCAAAACCTGTCAAATTATTTGTGTTATCAACAGTAAAGGATTGACTCCAAATAGAAAATTAATGATGCAACAATGAACAAGCATTTATCAAAAAAATAACAATGAACATGCATAAAAATGAAATTAACTAAACTAAAGAAACAGAATATTCATAAGCAAATCCTTTACAAGTTCATGTTTTTCCATTTTTTCTTTAAGCTCTGAAACTTGAGCAACATAAATGTGTATCTAGGATTTGAAAGAAGTCTCAAGTACCACACCAAATCATCTAATAAACACTGATACATGATATAGCACTGTATAACCCACAACTTATTAAAGAAATTAACTAATTAAAATACATCTAAGTGATAAGCGTAATTGGTGTGAAGAAGCATTCATGAATTCAGACGAATAACTGTATCCATATGGTGAAACCATTGACTTCATTTATAAGGTGCATTTTGAATATTAGAATCAAGTTGTTTATTCCAGAACTAAGAAAGAAACTTACTGGTGCATAAACCTGAATCTAATCGGGGCATAGAAAATGGTTCTTTAGCTCACTGGATTGCTTGGCTCCTCTACGAGTCACCTTTCTTTGCTCGCTGACATATTCAATTTGACATTTAATGAATCGAGGGGAATTGACCATCTTGTCAAGTAAGCTAATTTGCAATCAGTGTTAACTTGTAACACTATTCTCACACTGTTTTCCATTTTATTTTTTAAATGAAGAAAAGGGAAATAAAAGAAACTGAGTTTACCTAGAGGCTGATGAAACAACTGATTCTTTTGATAGAACCAAGGTTTAAAATGACAGTGTCGGTGGAAATGCCAGTCATACAAATATAAGAAAATGCCGTAAATGTCAGAAATATTGTAAAAATTATAGACATGGTGAAACATTACAAAATATGCAAAATATAAAATGATATGTTATGAAATGACCATGGGACAAAATAATATTAATACAAAGCTCCAGTACGCAAAACAGAATTCCATGACCCAGTTCCTGAATTCAGAAAATAAGAAATGGAATTAGGGTTTGTGCAATAAATGCCGATGGCAAGGGTGGGTTGAGTTTTCTGAAGCTTAGGCTTCAACAAACGTGACTCCCCTAAGGCGCTCAGCTTGTCACTACAACCCGACCACAAAACCTTGAATAATTAGGGAGATAGAACTGACCTTAGAGGACGAAGACGCAACAACGGAAGTGGGATCCGGATCGCCCAAACGAATGGAGAGACGATGGAGGCATTGCTTGTCGGAGTCCCAGAAGTAAAGGCGGGAGGCTCCGTCCCAGGCAATGAGGTTGGCAGGAGGCGTTCGAGATGTGGAGAGACGGGCGACGCCAGAGCTGCCGGTGGTGAAGATGCGGTGGTTCTGAAGCGGCACCCATTCAACTTCCTCCTTTGGCGTCGTTGTAGGTGTAAGGGCTTGCCGGTCGTCTGTATCCACTTCGGGTATAGAGAAATCGAACCTCATCTGAGGATGCTCTCTTCGTTTCGCTACCTTTATTCAATGCTACTACACAGTAGTACTACTTAACTGCGCAATGGTTGGTGACTTGATTCTCAATCAATTTCAACTGTCGCAGAGGGGAGAGGGAACGAGGCGCGGAACTTGCGAAAAGCTTGCTTACTCCAAAGTGTTTATTACATTTCTCATTTCTGGCCCGTCTCGAAGAGGAAAAAAAAAACACTTTGGACTTATTTTTAAGCGCTTTTTTGAAAAAAAAAAAGTGCTTATTACATTTCTCATTTCTTTTTTTTTTTTTCTTTTTGAAAAAAGTGGTTATTACATTTCTCATTTCTGGCCCGTCTACGCCTGCCACATAATTTTCAGAATACCTATACCACTCCAATTTAGAAGTACTTTTTTGAGTGCTTATTACGATAACCATTTATCTTAATAAATACTTATTTATGCAATATGCACTTCCAATGTGCAAATTCATTCAACAAAATAACAAATTACTCACTTACATATTCCAGGTTAGGAATCAGGAAGCGAGGAGGTAGAGACCAAATTACAAAAGGAAAAATAGGAAAGAGCATGCTTGGCAAGACAATTGGCAACTTGAGGAATAAAAGCGAAGGTGAAGAAGATATTTCCTGCAATTCATAATGAGAGTGTGAATAACAGATTTCGCATCACCTTCAAAAATTATGCATTTTAAGCCTAAAGAAATGGCAAAATTGATGCTCTCCCAAAGATAAACAGGTAGGGGGATGATGACCTTGGAAAGGTGGAGCGACCCCCATACATGTCGTCTTTTTTGTTTCTTCATTGAGTGCAACACCTCTTGAACAATGATTGTATTATCAGTGATATTCCACCCCGATGTGAGAGCACTTTGAAATGGAGAAATGATGTTTGGGAGTATAGTCTTTAATCTATTTGTTTATATTTTGGCAATCAACTTATAGAGGGTTTTACAAAGCCCAATAGGCCGAAAATCTTTGGCAATTGTCAACTTTAGGAATAAGACAAATGTTGGTGGCGTTTACCTCACGAAGAGATTGTGGATTTTGAAACACTTGTTACACCCAAAGAGTGATATCAGCACTGCGTGTATTCCGTCTGGTCCCGGGGCCTTCCAAGGTCCCATCGGAAACAGGGCATGGCGAACTTCTGACTCATCTGGTAAGTGAGTTAACAAAGCATTAATGTCCATAGAAATGGTTGATGCAAAATCTGGCATGTCAAAATCCGATAAGTCCGGATAGCAAGAATGGAAGTGTTGCTGGAAATGAGAAGTGTCCTTGTGGCTTGTAGTCCAATAGCCATCTAGGCGTTCAAGACAATGAATTTGATTACACCTTTTCCTATTAGAAGCCAAGATATGAAAATAGCAAGTACACTGATCGACATTAATGGACCTATTGGTTCCGGCTCTGTTTCCAATAACGCTCCTCTTCAGCTAACCAATTTTCTAATTCTTGTCTTAGGAGACGTTCTTGAGTGATAGAGGCATCATCAAAAAGATTTAAATGGAGTTGTAATAATTGTTGTTCCAGATCCTTGATAGTAGAGCCGAAACTACCACAAGTTTGTTGGTCCCATTCACAGAGATTTTGTAGAGTCATGCTCAGTTTCTTTGGGGGTAAGGCCATAAGACTGAGAACAAGAGCAGCAATTTAGAGTATTTACGCCATTTGTGTTTTGTAGAGCAAGAAGGTGTTGTAGATGGGCCTGTAGAAAAGCCTCTATCCAATCAGATATTACTAGGAAATCAAGCCTCTGGCTGATTAGCTGATTAGCTGGGCCACAGAAACCCATGTCCAAGAGGCCACAATAAATCCATGAGCTGCTTTAGAATATCTGTGTCACAAAGTTGAACTAATTTGCCACCTTGTTTCTCATGAGCATTTACAATCATATCATATTGAGGTCACCACAAACACACCAGGGCTTCGTGGCATGATCTTTGTAATCTTTTAGTTCAGATAAAAAAGCCCAATGGGACTGTGTCGAAGGATGGGCATAATAGCAGATTAAGTCCCATTGTAGACAATGAGGTCTATTTTGAATAGTACAATAGATAGCATGATCGGAAATTTTCTGTAGAGTGAGAGAAACTATAGTGGCCCAAAGAATGAAGTTTCTCTCACTCTACAGAATGAAGAATGAAGAGAATGATTTAGCAACATTGCTTTTTGTCATGGATAAATGTATTGTGATGGCCACTATAGTGGCCCATTGTTGTTGATCCCCTACTTAGATGGAAAAATTATTTTGATTTTAGACTGATTTTAAATCTTACATTCCATTTCCATCATGGATAAATGTAAAACTCATTTTTGTTTAACATGATCAATATATAATATCAAAGATTAGCCCAAATGTTTTTTAAAAAATTTCTATATTTATACTTTTTTGCATTTTAACATTTTAAATATTTATTATTTAATTGTGACATCATGAGTTGGACCATTTGACCAACAATGTTGGATCGTTGACCAACCACCCAAATAAGAAAATGGGTTCATTTTTAGGTTGGCTTTTAATTTAGTATTCCATTTATATCAATAATATAAATACTTCTTATATATCATTCTTATTTTGTTTAATATTACTAATATATAATATTAGAGATGTGCCCATTTTTTATTTTCTGGAATTTTTATATTTTATTTAATTTTAAATGTTTATTATTTAATTATATGGCATCATTGGTTACCCAAATAGTTGAATTGCTTATCACCAATAGGAAATGCTTTTAATTTCAGTTTAGTATTAAAATTATTGTGTATGGATTTAATTAATGAAATTTAATGATAGGAACAAAAACATTTTAAATATATGATTAAATGAAAGAGAATGAGAGTTAGTACCTTAAATGTGTGACTTAATGAGATGGAATAAAATAAATTGAAAAGTAACAGAAAAAGTGGGATTTAATGTGAGAGAATGAAAGTTAATATCTTAGACATGAAACTTAATGAAAGGGAATATATTGCACTAAATACTAGTATTCAAATTACAATTTCTACCCTTACAATAGAGAGAGACCAATTTAAAAAGAGGGTTATTCTAGTAAAACAAAAAAGCTGAAAAGACATGATAAGGGTTTTGAAAACAATGCTTGTTTGCTACTAGCCAAGGAATTGAAGAGTTGGTATTTACAACGCCTCATTTTTCAAAACATAAAAACAAAAGAATGTAGCAACTAGCAAGGAAAAAAAATCTGTGTTTTTACTTTTGAGGTAATTCCAACTTTAAAATCCATAAAATCAGAATCAGTTACGATGCGAAGTGCATTTCGGGTTATCAATCAGCAATAAAATCAAGAGGCTCTTTTATCAACATCATTTTTTTGGTAAATTTCAGATACCCATTGGGTGCTTAGGGATGACAACACGTAGCTCCTTGAACTTTGTTTTACCAAAAAGGCTGTAACTTGGATTGCAGCACTTTGTCTCTTGCTGTTATCATCCCTTCACTAAACTGTTGTGTATAGGTTTATGTATTGTTAAAACCCCAAACTACCACGATATTAATCTTTAGGACCTTTTAACTCAGTTTTTTGAAGATACCAAGGCTTAGAGTGGGGAGAGTACAAATGCAAATACTCATGGTACAATACAAAGTTTAGAAATACAATATACAAGGTTTTATATTTATACTCTTTCCAAACAGAATCATTAATACTATAAAAACATGGTATCAGAATCATCTATGATATCGATTGATTGGTTACAAATTTTTTAAATACCATGTCTTTCCGACATTTGGTAATTTTTGTCATTGTTGCTATTAAGCCCATAGGATTAATTAACCAGGGCAAAGTGCTGAAATCAAACGTACAGAGAGGTCTTTGTTGTAAAACAAAATCCCGGGGTCTAATTGTCAAGACTCAAGACCCCCAAGTACCACTACTTTGGATCTCCTATACCCACAAACCTTTTCCACATCCCTTACCCAGAAGACACACTAGTCTGTGTATTGTAAACATTTCCCATGAATGACAAGGAAGAATTCCCAATAATGCCCTCTGGGTGGGGATGTGAGAAGAGCTGGGGGTGGGTGTCTAAAAGCTTTAATTTACCCTTTTCTCCTCAACTTTGAACAACATCGATCAATTTGACAGAGTCATGGTAATATTAAACAAGAAAATGTTATAGTATTGTTATAAGGTGTGATCGAGATGAAACATCATCTAATAAATACCAACTAATTCTCTCCTCACTTTGTTTATCATCTACATTTTCTCATTCACTTAAATAGTAATTATTTAAACGAAACAAAGTAATTGCTCCATTCAATTTATGCCCACATGAAATTTTCCCCAACAATCTTGGACAAAGAAACAGTATTTCTTAGAATTAACAAAGAAAGAAGAGGATAATAGCTGTAGGGAAAATGCATGCTACTAAAATAGAGGAGGCTATACATAACAGTCTATGGGGTATTCTGCATATATCTTCAAGTTTGAAATGTGTTATTATTATTATTTGTCTTCACGGTCCACCTCAATTTTGATGGCTCCTCCACTTTGCGCTTTTTTGATTCACCACAAAATCCTCTATGGACAATAAAATGTAAATTGCACAACGCTTCAGAATCAGCAAGAATTCAAATCAAAGAATGACCAAAATTTGTCCTTCAGAAACATTCACCATTGCACATAATGCACTTATCTCCATCTGGGGAATAATTAACCCCAAATTAAAGCCCACAGCCTGCATTAATCAAGATCGCTTGATTAAGTTCTTAATTTGTCTCTCATAATCTATGAAATGCATGAACAATTGCTTGCCTGTTAAGCTGCCAACGCTCCTCCAAGTGATGATTCAAGTACATTTGTTTGGTCTGCAATTACGATTAAAGAAGAAATGAACGGCGAATGGAATACTGGGTACATTTGAGATTTTCAAAACGCCTAAATTATAATTTTTTTTTACTTACTAAGTGGAGTTTTGATAACGAAAAAGCAAGCCCCAATGGCAGTATAGCAAAGCAAAAGAACAAATCCTTTCATGTAATGCGAAGTCCCATCCTGCAAATCACAATGTATAATATGTAATGTCCATTCAATGGAGAGCATATTGAAGCATGACATTTGTTTCATGTAATTAATTAAGATGAATGGATATGGTTATTTTTCCTTGGGAGTTTAGTAAAAAATTGCTCATAAACAAGCTTATAAAAGTTTAAATGGGATTTATCTAGTTAAACTGAAAAGAAACAAAAACAAGTGACTATTTTATTTTTCAAAGAACTATTATTCCCATGGCCTTATGGCACATGCATCTGTTGACGTTCATTGAATGCAATAGTAAATACATCTTGTTAAATGTGAAAGTATACTTTATAAAATGTAAAACAATGAAAAGTAAGTAGATTTTAGTATGATTGATTGAGATCTAGATTCAATATACAGTGGATATGGATATTAGTGAAAGCACCATGGTTGAATTCACACTAATTCTTCGGTGTATAATGCAGATGAAAATTGGATGGATGACCATACCTGTAGAGCGAAGGCTGTGACGATTATTGTCAAGACAAGAGTACCAGTCTCGAGGAGCTTGAAATCAAGATCCATATTGACGCCCATTATCCATGCAACTATAACATTTAAGGGAACCTGAACCATAGCAGTATATTCCCAATTTCAGAGACAAGGATTAATATATATATATATAGCCATTTCATACTGAATTTACTTCAGTCAGTATCTTACCACAAACATTGCAATTTGAGTTGCAGACCCTAAAGCAACACCTAAAGATATATCCTGCAAAAACCCAGAATATATTTATTTCTGTTAACAAGTTTGGAAGCAATGAAGAACAGAGGTCTGAATTTGAACTGCAGCGAAAGAGAAGTACTGATCATGGCTTGCTTACCAACTTGTTCTTGAAAGCAAATATTATTGCACCGGCATGTTCTGCTGCATTTCCGACGATCGGCAGCAAAATTATGCTAATGAAGTTGACAGAAATTCCCCAAGAATCTGATGCAGCCTGGTTAAGGAGGAAAATTATATTGTTGGTTAATTAATTGTTCAGAATTAGGCTTCATCAATGAAATACTGAAGCTGCTCTACTCATGAGTAAGAGAAGAGAATAAACAAGTTAAATTACCTCGATTGTACCCACAACATACTCAGAGAGCAAAGCAATGACGGCAGTCATTCCGGCCAACCAAGTAAATGCACTCCAGAATCCTATTACAGCCGTTTCATCGGACCCCACATCATCACCGTCGTGGTCTTCCTGCTTAGTTTCAAGTTTCAACTGAACGAGTTAGTTCTCACAATCCACTCAGGCTATGTTTATTGGTAAAAATTCTGCTACTGTTTCAACAATGATTTTCAAACCAAAAATGATTCTTTTTGAAACTAAATTTTCTTTCTCCAAAAAATCAATTATTATTATTAGAACGAGTTCCAATTAAAAAAAAAAAAAGTCATTAGAAGGAATTATGAATTTTAGAATTAATGCCCGTTTGGGAGGGATTTAACACAGCGGCTTTTGCTACTTCTGACATGAGCTAAAAACCCAAAAGCCAAAAATAGGCTTACATGAGCTCAGGCAATGCAAAAGCCCTCCCAAATGGGGTCTTAATGGAATTTCGTACCAAGGGAGGGAAGGGAATGGGGTTCCGGTTCCGCCCAATCAAGCAATTAAATCATTCTGATTCCGATTTCAAACCCTTATTCCAATAAAGCAAACAGATTTTAAATTAATTTTGGAGCCATAGTTATTAATTTTGGCGTTTTTTTTCACAGTTCCTACTGGTCGAGTTCAAGGACCAATGCATCCCTTGGAACGTACAAGGACAGAAATGCAACAGGATCGTAGCCCGAGTCTGGGAAGGTGGGAGTAACGACTAGAGTAGAGAGGGAAAACCCATAAAAGTACGGTTGAATCATGGTTTCAGTTACGCGGACGCAGGACAAGAAGATGGATTTTGTTCCGTATAAACTTGTAAACTGGCCCATGTTTCAAAGATATGGACAGGCAAAGAAGCTTCTCTAGACTCTAGTTCCGGGAAATGGATAAACTTACGGTAGATGCTGGTAAGTTGGGGGCCCATCTAGGATCAAGTGTCCCCAGGGCCCACTCGGCCCCTAAAAAGTAAACGTCAAAAACCCTTGTACGAGGGCTGACCTAAAGGCAGGAAGAGACGTGCATGCTCTGACCTCTTGGGCTTCGAACAACTGTCTGTGGGTCTTGAGTTGGAAGAAGAGGTAGGCAATGTAGGCAAGAAGCATGATGATGCTGCTCGCTCTCGACAGTTGAAGCGTTGGGTCTGCCGTGAGTATCTCCGGGCCGGAGGCGTATCTGAATACCAGCGGCAGCATGTGGCACAACAGCCCCAGCAACAGAAGGAGAGAATTCACGTCGGCTTGCTTCTGTTAAACAATCATTGATGAAAGTTCAGTCGGATGATACAAACCCAGGAGCAGGTGGTGAAATGGGTGAAATCAGAAGGAAGAACAAGCCCTGATCATGATTAAGCGGTGATCAATATATATATCTTACGTACCCTGTCAAATTTCTGTTCCTTCTTCAGATTGGCTAAGCCTCCACAGAAGAGAGACGTCCCAAGGACAAGGAGAAGGTTGGATAGAATGGAACCCAACAGGGAGCTCTTCACTACATGTATTTTCCTTTTATAGAGAGCGAATAATGCTATAATGAGTTCTGTTGCATTCCCGCAGGTCGCATTCAGAAGCCCACCAACTGAAAATCAATAGCAGATATGAAGGCGACGAATTATTTCGATTTCCAGTTGATCAAAAACGAATAAACATTGAATTATATGTAAATATTTTCAAAAGAACAGGAGACATTATTACCTGTTGGACCTGTGTAGAGGGCAATTTGTCTGCAATTTTTTTTTTTTCAATAAGAATATGGAAGAAGGGAAAAAAAATTAATCAGCACAGATAGATAGAAACTCTTCGAAATGCAAATAACGAATAAGATTCCAAACTTACTCAGTTAGAAAGCTGACACGTTCTGCAAGTGGGGTGAGCCCAAGTAAACTCAAGGCAAAAATCCATGACTGTAAACAAACAAATGAACAAATGGGTTTAATAAAATCAAACACGTAAATAAGCAGGAGAACAGAAGAAAAAGAAGTAATATTGCTTGCAGTGGTCATGTCTAAGGGTGTCAATGGACCGGTTTTGGATTGGGTTGAAACCAATCTAAACCAAAATAAATTTAAACAGATTGAACAGTCCAGACATTGAATTGGGCCGATCCAAATTTGTCCACAACATTCATTGGATTGGATTGGATTGGACTTACGAATGAACTCACATTGGACTGGATCGGATTGGACCAAATCCAGTCCAATTGACACCCCTGAATTCATGTCTGAACAGCAGTGGGTCTTTCCAAATCTCAGAATTGACGCGGAATCAGAAATCATTTCTTTTATATGAAAACCCAGATGGGTATATAAACTCACTCTTCCAAAATTACAATACTCGGCGACGATCGCCAGCGGAATGGCTGGGAAAAGAACGGAAAGCTTGGTCCCCAGGATGACCTCCTGGAGGTTTGCCAAGAGCTGTCTGAGTCGTCCGCAGGGCACCTTGGAAACAAGCTTAAGGTCCGACTTCTTGCGCAGCGACGAGGATGACATATTGTGTGCCGTCCTCCCGTGCCGGATCTCCTTGCCGGAGCCCGCCTTCAGGTTGCCGTTGGCCTGCTGGCCATTCTCCAATGCCAAGAGCTCCTCCGAAGCCATGCTTTGTAACCTCTGGTAGCTATACGAACTGACTACGAAGAATATAATCAATATATATAAAGGAACCGCTGTTGTAACGTTCTCTTCAGGTGAGGAAGAGGATATAGAATGCCATAAATATAGAGCGAACTGTGTAGTCCAAATGTGAGTTTCTGCAAACTGAAACTGAAAGCGTCTAGGAGGCATTTTCCTGGAAGCTTCCTGTTTCCTATGATACGTATTATATACAAACAGAAATACGTACTTGCATTGGTAACTGTAAATCTATTTAACTAGCAAAGTACTTCAACCGTCGGTTACTGAGATGGATAGGCATCGGACAGTCAATCTGGTCTTCAGATAGGAATTAGTGTTCGAAGCCTACAGTGTAGAAACCCACTGTATTTACTATTTACGAATGTGGATCATCTTTCAATATTTTAAGTACACTCCAAAATCTGCCCACGGTTTCAGCTCAAGAAGGATAAAGACAAACCTGGGAATTTGAGTTCTGAGACATCTTTTTTTTTTTTGGTTGGAGAGTTCTGAAACATCTATGCCAGGTCGCAGACAGACAAGAAAATGTCGTTTTTTTATTTTGATAAAGTGATAAACTAGGTCAGGTAATCTGGCCGAATTAATGAACAGCTAGAAATGTGGAAATGTTGTTCTAGCTTGTTTGCAGTGCAATTTTATTTGCACTGATGCAAAATTAAGTATGAAAGTATGAAACTGCAAATGATTTGTGTATAGATAATGATTTATTTTTGTTTCAGTTTTTGCCCTATTTTGCTTGTTTGTACTGCAAATGAATTGAAATAAAACGGCCTAATGCAAAGCGAAACCCAATAAAAAATTAAATCAAAATTTGCATTCTTTTTATTAATTTGTACTCTTATGCATTTATAATATTAGTACAAAATGAAATTATACTCTAAACAAACGGATCCTTATTAATTTGTACTCTTATGCATAAATTGTTTGAAATTATACGCTTATGCATTTATGAGATAGATTTTTTTACCAAAAATATTTTAGTTTTTTATCAATACAAATTAATTACATCTAAAATTTCAAATTTGACGTTGAAGCAATGATCAGTTTCACATTTATTTTTTAGTTGATTGAAATGTGATTCTCTTATATGATGCGACAAATACATATTTTTCACCCATCTGTGTTGATCAACTACAATATATTTAAAGGTAGAAATACAATTAACCTAAAATTGGGAGGGATGACATAGTAATTACAAGGAGTTCGGTCATATAAAGAAGTTTCAGTGCCTGAAATCTCTCTGAACTTTTTACGTTAAATAAAAAGGAAAAAAAAAATAGTGTTTTTGCCACGTGGCAAAGGTCTCCCTAGGCTACTAAGTACTGAGCAGTCTGAGGCGATGGTAACGTAGGAGGTCATGCCTGCCACCTTATCTGCTTCTGGATAGAGAGAGACTCGTTGGATTAATTGGCAGGTGGCAGCAACAATCTCCAAAGTACAAACATCATTAATTAGAATTTCGAATGGGATTTGGGTGGAAATCCCCTCGTATAACCAACTTTTTCAAGTACAAGAAGACACCCCCAATGAATCATCAAAAACCTCTCCAGCGAATCAAAAATTAAAAAAAAAAAAAAATCAAACCCTAAATTAAAAAGTCTGGGTTTTAGAGTATATCCAGGTTTGTAATGAATAACCAAGAAAATTAGGAATATGATTCAATTGAATTTCATATATTCGTATTTCAAAGAAATCTTACATTTGTTTCTTTATTTCACATGCAGCCAAATTCAGCCTAAATATGTTATCAGCACTGAGTGGAGAAGCAGAAACAGAACCATGAAGGCAATTTTGAAACACAGCATACTCCTAATCAAGCAAATCTCGTAGCTACGCAGGGAATATGCGCAGCGCCTTTATCAGATAATAATGGGATGACAAGCTGAAATTTAACAAACAAGAGTTTCTGTTAAATGCCAATTGGCTCAAACGGCAAGCTTCCTGGTTGGTTGTACTTGTACAGCAAAGGCTTTGGATTGATTCCTACATTCACCAAGGTTGAGAAGTTATGGAGTCTGGAAGCTAAGATGGGCTCCCCCTGCTTTTATAATCCCATTTGCCCAGCGAAAAAAAAAGCTCATAATCACACACACACACAAAATTGCATGTACAGCATCATTTACAGCATAAGATGTGCAGTAGATTTGAAAGAGAGAAAGGGATGCCAGTATGTCCATTTATTTGCTTATTTATCTGTCTATACAGCAGTTATTTGTTCAGTGCAGATAGGCCAGAGATGAATTGTTAGGTTATTATATTAATAATACAAATTGATAAAATATATATTATCACATCACATGTAACAGTTAATTCAGCTAGAAATTAAAAATACATGTGTATGATCATAAATTGCCATTTATAGATTTTGTATTTTTGGCTTCATAGGGATACATATATAACGGAGTTACCCATCTCCATTCCCTTAATCCCCAACCTTAATGGCAATGGAATTTGATCTCAAGTCTCTACTACAATGAGTTATAAATCCTACCAATTGAGACACTATCAATTGATCATTGCCGTCTATAGTTAAAATGTCAATTTTCAAAATGTTCCATTTAATAAAAGAATATTTCTCTCACCAATTTATAAACGTTTTAGATGAAAACAGCAATGATACCAACACAACCTTAATCAATTTCGAATCACCCAACATTTACGCAGACCACATAGATATTAACAGTCGAACCCTAGCTATGACCCATTTTAGATCCAATATGAGCCATCAACGCAGTGTTGCATGGACTGATCTCTTAAATAGATGAAGCATGTGCACATCAGACATTCGGATGCATGTCGTCCAACACAGACAATTTATGGATTTTTGGATGACACTTCTTTTTCTTTTCTATTTCCTTGCTTATTCAACATAAATTATTAGTTAATGCACGCAATGAATATCATTAAAGATGATGTATAGTGTTAGTCCTTTTTTTTTATGCAGGTTCATAAATCATAATGTTAGGATTCATGTTTCTATAGAATTGTTCAACAGTCTTCTAATTTCTCCTCTTGCCCAATCAGGTTCCGGTCAGCGCAACATCCGTTTGAACACTGGGAATATCTTCATATTTATGTGATTTATTTTATGGAAAAATATTAATTTTTAATGCAAGATTGCAAGAAACTATTGAAATGGTGTGGACCCAAGCCCAAACCGGCTCTCACACACTACCGGTTCTGACTTGGGGATGGCATGCATTAAAAAAAGAAAGACAAATATTTCTAAGAAAGGATGGGTGGTTTGTGCGTTTGAATGAAATTGCATGTCAATCCTTCACATGCATTTTGCTGCTTGCCTGTCTCTACCTATTAATGTGTAATATAAAAAAAGGGCCAACGCCGAATCTGAGAGAGACAGATACACGCAGCCTTATACATAGAAAGACTGTTTTCAAGACTTTGAATTCTGGTCGCTGAGATCATAATGAACAACCCCAACTGTTGAGTCAATATCCACCCTCAATATGTAATGTGAAATACCAAAATATAGAAATAAAATTCGTGTTCCGTCTTCAATATCGAATGCTTTTTCATTTAGAGAGAGATAGAGAGTGTGGTTCAAATTTTGGAAATAGTCTCTCTATCAATTTGCAGGGATAAGACTGCATATTGACAGGGAGCCTCATGTACAACCATTTTGACATTGAGACTAATTAAGTTTCTGTTTCTAATTTTCAGTTTGTGAGTAACATTATCTACTCCACAAGATCGATATTAATTATTAGATGTAAAATATTAAGGGTCTGTTTGATTTATAGTCAGAATTAGAATCAAAATCTTTGAATATTGGAATTAGAATGATTTATTCCTATAATCTATTTGATTCAAACAAGAATAAAAATGGCAATTGGAATCAGCAGGAATAATATTCATTCTTTAAGGAAAGGGGAGAGAGAATGGGGGAATGACCATTCCCTTAAATGGGAGAATACCTTTTCACTAGGAATAGGAATGGGATTCTAATTCCACCCAACCAAATAATTTGAATCCAAATAACCTGATTCCAATTCCAGATGGGCCTAAAATGTATGGCAGTAGAAAATAAGCATTTTCCTGTAAGTAAGTAGAGAATTATATACTAAAAACTATAGTAACATTTCTTCTACTTTTCCATGTTACGGACTCATTTCCTATCAAACCAAACACTGCATTATCATCATAGATACAGCTCAAAACCTCTTCTGGTATGCTTATTTCTTGTCAGCATGTTTCCTCTGACAGGATAGTCCGTTTCAGACGTGGCTAGAAGCAATATAACGGTCCGATAGTATTTTTAGTCGTTGCATGGAGAAAGCAACAGAGGCTAGCTAAAGAATTGTACAGTCACCGTGACGTTAAAATTTTCGATTTTTGCCTCAAAAAAACTAAATAAAAAGAAAAATAAAACAAAAACATAAAATAGAAATTTTAAAAACAGGCTATTTATGTTTTTTTGCACAAATTCCCATATTTAAAAAAAAATCCTAAACCTTAATTTCTAGTTTTCTATCATTATTTCAAAAGGGTTTTAAATTTCAGACTCAATGGCTTATGCAAATAAGACAACGTGGCCTATTTTTATTGAAAGCTGTAGCATGGGGGCTGCACCATATGGTGAACTGGCAGGTTGGCAGCTTGGACTGTAGCAAGGGGAAAGTCCTTCGTAGAAGCTTCGGCATTTGAAGACAAAAAGAAAACGGTTAACTTTGTCCCCTGTTTTGTAACGGATGCAATATTAGGTGATTCAATCAGCAGAAGAGAGTATAGAAGAACAACAAAAGGGTGGCATGAAAGAATAATTAATTACACTAAGGAAGGTTGCAAGAAGCTTCCCTCCCTTGGCAACGTAGAGCAAATCATGTAACTAATTTGCTCTCTTGCTACTTCGATTCGATTCCCAAGTAGATGTAGATCACTGAATTCAATAGGTATGCATGATCAACACTTGGATGGGCAGGTTCTCCATCTCACGACTCGTGCCGATCATGAAGTGTCCCACTAGACTCTAGACATACATTTCTATACGTGAAGCTTCTGATTGCTTAAGCTCTATTTGTTGTTGG